TGCCTTCTATTGTTCCTGTGTATACAGAATTTCCTACATCTTTATTTCCATTTAAGTGTTCTTGGAACAGACATTGAGAGTGGGAGGTTGGTGGGTGCTGTGGTGTGGTTTGCTTCTTCTTTCCTTTCAAACATCTATATTATTAATCTGCATACAGGAAAAAGAGGCTAAAACAGCACCTGGACATGGATGGCTGGTGCCTCTATGAATAAATCATTGATGGTCAGGTCAAACATCTATCGACCTGGTCTCCCCTCCTTTTTTTGTGTGTGTTTGTTACTCTCTTGTCACACCTCTAATCTTCGGCACTTATATGACCTTATTGTGTTGCAAGTGCCGTAATACGCTTACTAAAACAAGACATTGAGACATTAAACTTGCATACAATTGCATTTTTTTTACCATATATTACTGACTGTGTTTGTACCATATAATAATAATAATAATAAATAATAATAAATAGAATTTGTATAGCGCATGTACCCACTCGAAAGCAAGCTCTATGCGCTTTACACTATATTATTACCCCAGCAGACCATAGAACACTCAGAAACATTCTCAGCTTCCCGGGAAGCATACAATGCAAGCAGCTGGTTAAGCGCTCAAACACTAACAAACTGACAAGATCTTTCGCTGTCTATAGCCGGGTACCCATTCCCACCTAGGTGAAGTGGGGAAAATTCGTTTAAAGTGCCTTTCCCAAGCACTACTGACTCTCATATGACTTTCTATGTCTGTGACAGGCTGGCCCTCCACAACCCGCTGCGCCGCCTGTACCAAGAGGTGGAGACGTTTCGGTACCGTGCCGTCTCCGACACGCTGGTCACCATCAACCGCATGGAGAGTGCGCGCACCGAGTACCGCGGCGCGCTGCTGTGGATGAAGAACGTCTCGGAGGAGCTCGACCCAGATATGTACAAGCAGCTGGAGAAGTTTCGCAAAGTGAGGGCACTTGTTTGTTTGTTTGTGTGTGCGACTTGTGCTGCCTTCCTGTACCGGGGGTTTTTTCTGGGGGTGGGGGTTGTTTTGTTGTTTTTTCCCTCTCTTTGTCGGCTTTTATTTCGAGAAAATGTCTTCCTTTGAAGGATGATGGAAATACGATGGTTAAACTTAGCTTAATATTAATAAAAAATGACATTTCAATAGCGCTCAACCCGATTAAAGTACACAGGCTCTGAACGCTTTACAATACAGTACAACATACGACAGTAACATAAAATGTTGTGTTCTGACTAAAAGAAAATCACTCCAAATATTCATCTTATTAATTTAAAAACAGAAATGACTTCAGCTGACATTTGAATGAATCCTAGGAGATGTGAGTAATGCACTACTATGTACAAAATACTGGATTTCTGTACATCTTGTTTCCTTTGCTGTATGTACATCATGATTGTTGATCAAAGTGTTTTTCATTAAGCGTTTTTAGTTTAGTAACCTTCTACAAATTACAAATGGCTTACCGCTCATCTCTTCATCAGGTTCAAAGCCAGGTGCGAAAGACCAAGAGCAGATTTGATAAACTGAAACTGGATGTGATGCAGAAGGTAAGCAACACAGGTTAACAATACTGGAGTTAAGGAACGTCATTCTCTCTTTCTTCGATTCTTCACGGAGTTAAGTCACTTACTGCCTGGGGTTGAAATCCCAACTAAACTGCGGCTGCCTGCATTTCTAACGTGTTTTAGAATATTATTGCTGGATTACTGTTCGAAGTAGACCCTTATAATCTTCACTTTTTATTATCTTTATGTTGTGTTTTTTTTTAGGTGAAAACCTATTTTCAAAAGTTGTCATACTTTTGTTTGTATGATAATTTGAAATGTGAACAAAAACATATTTGGAATTACTGGAGCCACTGGTGGAGGGAGGGCAGGGGCCGACCTCAAAGGCATTTTTAAAAAAAACCCTTCTTAACTAAATAACTGGGATCTTGGTATTCTAAGTGGTGTCGGTAGCTTAGTTGTGAGGCTACCCGACCAGTATTCCGTAGATTTCAGGTCCGGGGTTGGAGCCTCAACTCGGTCCGCCGCGTCCTTGGAAAATGTATAATATATATAATATATAATATAATATAAATTACACTTTTATTTGTCCCGGAAGGGAACTTTGGTTTACAATGGCAAACATACATTTACATACATAAATACATAATTATAAATACATACATGCATAAATACGTACATAAATACACAATATTACACAAATACAGAGCAGTTTACAAACAATGCCACTGTCGGTCGCCGTTATGCAGCGCCCTGTATTTTGAGCTAGGGCTGTCGTGTCTTGCTCAAGGACACACCCCAGTGACCACCCATCTGATCCCCATGTCACCGACACTTGCTTGACATTACTTGAGTCTGAACTCACTACTCACTTAGCCACTGGAGCCCCCAAAGCACTTTACACGAAATTCTTATTTGCTAAGTGTGTTTACTGGACGTTGCTCTACCTTGACGATAGAAGCAGTACTTTTATTTTTATTATTATGCTGGCAAACAATTTGCCTTTTTTGCCATAATCAGTCAAACGAAATACATAATTCCAACTTCTTCAAATGTTTGGCAGGATTTTAGTAATATCGATCGGGGAACAAGTTAAAGCTTGAGAATATATTTGAATTGCAAACTTGGTCTCTGCTCTCATTTTCCCTTTAATCTTTAAATAGTGGTAATATTCCTGATTCTAGTCATTGTAAAGATGGCAGGTTTGCAGTCCAGTTTTTATTTAACCCTATCTGTACACCCTGGGGTCATTTTGTACCCCGGGGTTGTATTCTTCACATTTTAGAATACTTCTAGTGGGAAGATCGCTTTTGAAACTTTCTGTATTTCTCAAAAAGTCGTTTTGATAGACTGCTATGCCAAGCGTACGGATCGGATTAACGAGTAAATTTCCCCTTTGGAAAGTGGTGGCACAGAGTTCCCCATGTCGTATGGATACGATAGTAAAATATGGCATATGGATAGGGTTAAACTACAGTGGAACCTGTGTAAGACGGCCACGCATTGTCGAGGGGAAAAGTGGCCGTATAAGACGGGTGGCCGTCTTAGGCAGGACTGATCAAAATTTTTTTTAAACAACCATTTACACCTGAGGTCCCAACTGGAGGTGGTTGCATGCTTAGGACTGCCCTCGGGATGATTAAAATTTGTTGTTGTTGTTGTATTTCTTTTGAAAGGGGGGAGAGGATGGGATGGTTTTTGTGGGACTTTTTGTTGTTAGTTTTATTTTTATTTTTAAATTATGGTTCCAGGAAAGGTCAAAACGAAACTAAATGTTTCAGACGAGGAAGGCCAAGTGTCATAGTAAAACAAATAAATGGGTCGCAGCACTCGAGGAACGAGCAACACTTCTGTCGCCAGTTTGGGTTGACTTCAATTGTTAAGGACTTGGTTTACGGACTGAGTTGTGGGCGGGCCTTGTAGGTTATGACGGATCACACGCTTCCCTTGCCAGCAGCTGAAAATTTATTGTTTCCCGTTGGTCAGCTTGGGTAAACCTTGGGAGTGACCTAAGCAACATGACCGTTCATCCATTGGAGGGACTGACAACAACGACAGGTGAAAGAATTATGACAGCTTTCCACAACGTCAGGAGAAAATGCATAATTTTTGACAAAGTCTGGCCGTCTTAGGCAGGTAGATTTGGACGTGGGTTGATAAAATAAGGTGGCCGCGGCCGCGTTGGACAGGTGCCCGTTTTACACAGTTAAATTATGGAAAAAAAACTCAAGGGGGAAAATGGAAAGTGGCCGTTTGTACAGGTGGCCGTCTTATAGAGGTATCCGTTAGGGCAGGTTCGACTGTACATTGGCGAGTGTTGATGTGAATGTCTTCCTACATTGGCGAGTGTTAATGTGAATGTCTTCCTACATTGGCGAGTGTTGATGTGAATGTCTTCCTACATTGGCGAGTGTTGATGTGAATGTCTTCCTACATTGGCAAACCCCTGGGGCAGTGCCACTGACTGAAGTGTCTTTAGGCCATTCCCAAAGGGGGGACATATCTCGTTCAAGCATAGTAGAATTGTAAATGGGCTGACTCATGTCACGCTCATAACTGTGCTTGATCTACAACAGGGAACTGCTGCTTTTTCTTTCCTGATCCTTACTATTGTCATTTTCCTCTACTTCTTTTGTATGTTTGTCACTCTCTTGTGACCTGCTATTTTGGGGTGCCTTGATAGTCGAAGCAGACCTTGTGCTGTTGAAGCTAGAGAGGTGAGCAGAGTAAGTCTGATTCCCTGTAAAGACTTCTCTGTTGACACCCACCCCTTGGCGCTCATATGACCTTATGCAGTTGCGAGCGCCGTAAAACCCTCTACTCTATATACTACTACATTGGCAAGGGTCACTGTGAATGTGTTTTGTGACAGGTGGACCTCCTGGCTGCCAGCCGCTGCAACATGTTCTCCCACGTCCTGGCCAACTACCAGACCATGTTGCTGCACTACTGGGAGAAGACCTCGCGCACCATGTCTGCCGTGGCCGAGAGCTTCAAGGGATACCAGTACTACGAGTTCAACATGCTCAGAGTGAGTGTGTGTGTGTGTGTGTCCACCCCCCCCCACCACCACCAGTACTACGAGTTCAACATGCTCAGAGAGAGTGTCTCCCCCCCCCCCCCCCACCAGTACTACGAGTTCAACATGCTCAGAGAGTGTCCCCCCCCCCCCTCCTTCCTTTCACCTTTTTATGTTTCATTCACTTTTTTTTTCACTTTCAGACTGTTTAGTCAACAAGACTTGATGATGTTCGCACCGTACGTAACATCTCCCAAAAGTTATTAATTGAAGTGCCGCTGGTGTCTTTTGTTTGTTTTTTGAAAACCCAGTTGAGCACAGCGCTCCTGTTTGGAATTGCTCACATTAGAGGTAGATCAGTGGGTGGTTGGCGGGTGCTCTGGTGTGGTTTGCTTCTTCTTTCCTATCAAACATCTGTCATCTTTATCTCCCCTCCTTCTATTTTGTTTGTTACTCTCTTGTAATACCTCTATTCTTCGGCACTTATATGACCTTATTGATTGTGTTGCAAATGCCGTAAAACTCTTACTAAAACTAGAGAGGTAGATCAGTACTCTTTCTCTTCCTGTTTAGTTCCTTGATCTACTTTTCTTTTTTGTGCTCGGCTGTTTCCCAAATTAGCGACTTTGTCATTTATGTTGTCATGTGATATTCTTTCTACCTTTGTTGATCCGTGTCTGTGGTGTACTGGTTTGACCTTTTGCTCCACCTGGCAAGACTTGAGTTCGATTTCTGTGTGGGTGGTTGGCGGGTGCTCTGGTGTGGTTTGCTCCTTCTTTCCTATCAAACATCTATCATCCTTATCTCTCCTCCTTCTTTTTTATGTTTGTTTCTCTCTTGTAACACTTCTATTCTTCGGCACTTATATGATCTTATTGTGTTGCAAGTGCCGTAAAACTCTTACTAAAACTAAAATATCCGTCTGTCTGTCTGTTGAGATGTTGTATCCAACAACATAGCCCTGTAGCTCATATGACCCTATGCAGTTGCGAGCGCCGTAAAACCTCTACTAAAACAAACAATAGCCCTGTAGGCCTGACAGGCACAGTCAATCTTTACAACAACAACAACATCGTTTCTCCCTCAGGAATTGACAGAAACCAGCAAGAAGCTTGCCCAGGAAACATCGAGTCCCGAGCGGGCGGAGAAAGATACGGACGACTACGACGACAGGTGAGTCAGTCTGTCGACACATTTTTGTGTGTTTGTACTTTGAGTATCTACAGAGCTGTTGTTTGGTGTTGCCTCAATACTTCTCTTTCATCGTCGCTCAGTTTGCTTTGTCTGGTGGTGTACTGCACGGATTGTTAGCAGCATTTCTTCCTGGATTAGTTTGTCATCATTTTTGTGTGTGTGACCCTGGTTGTTTGTGAGAACGTACTGGATTTTTATAAAATGTATTTATATAACTGATATGGGTATAATATATTATGTTGTTTATGAGAACCTCACGACATGAAGTTTCAGTCGAGAAGGAGCGAGCCTTACGTTAGTGAGGTAATTTTTCCATAAATAAAAAGTCCCATTCTACATTAGTTCCCCCTTTGTTGGGACTGATCCTAGCCGTATGTTGCCATTATAATTCGGAGGTATAGCCTTGGATGGTATTTTTCTCCAAAAATGGCTGGTATAAAGGCGAGTGTATACGCCATATACCCAGATGTGCACTGTGCCCATACTTTGTTCAGTACATGATGTACTACCAAAGTCTCACACCTTTTTTTTTTTAAATGGGCAAAAGGTTAGCAGCCCTTTCCAGTAAAACAAAAACCAGCTACTAAAACATCAACAGCAAAAACAACACATACGATTCAAGTATTTCAATGCGTCCTTCCTGTCTTTTTCTGGTTGTTGCTTGATGTGTGTTCTGCTGTGCCGTGTGCTCTTTTTTCTACCACATTTACTTGTCCGTCAATGTCCCTCCACGTACTTTGCTCTACTGTATAACCCAACAGGCCAGGCCAGGGCACATGATGCCTGTGAGTGGGCAGATTTTCCCTTTTGCACGCCGGCGCGCTTTGTCGTGTGTGAATCTAGCGGGGGGGGTGGGGTGTGGGGGGGGTACCGAGGGGGTTGTGAGTGCAGTGCAGGGACCTCAGTGCCAGGGGGGTCACAGTTTACCCAGTTTAAGTTCAAAGGGGGAATTGTCATTAGCACCTCCAGTCTAGAGCCAGATACAATCCCATGATGTTATTTTGTATGAGCATTTTGCCACGATGACTATGACTGATGCTCATGTAGAGGGTGGTTGGCGGGTGCTCTGGTGTGGTTTGCTTCTTCCTTCCTATCAAACATCTTATCGTCTTTATCTCCTCTCCTTCTTTTTTGTGTTTGTTACTCTCTTGTAACACCTCTAATCTTCAGCACTTATGTGACCTTATTGTGTTGCAAGTGTCGTAAAGCACTTACTAAAACTAAAAGATTCTCTTGTAATGGGAAATGAATAGAGAACGGATTCGAGTACGAGCTGCCAAATTTGTCGTCTAAATTATTTGTTAGTAAATGTCATTTGTGACACTGCTGCTTTCTATATATAGCCTTTGAATGTTCTCGCACCTCCTGCACTTGCTATTACTTTTTTGTTCCCCCGAGCGAGGATTTTTTATCTATGTGTGTAAAACTGTCCCCGTCGTTTTATGCAAGAAAAATTCTGAAATTATGCAAACTGAGCCCAAAAATGTGAAATTATGCGATTCTGTTAATTTTAACAAAGAATGGTAAAGGAAAATAATCAGAAATTATGCAAAAACTGATCAAATTTTGCTAAATTATGTGGGGTGCATAAAACCACGGGGACAGGTAAAAGATTGTTCTTTGTGTTTGTAGTAAAAGAATGTTGACTTTCAGCGAAGGAGAAGAAGTGGATGAGGAGGAGGGTGGCGGTGGATCTGCTTTCAATCATTACCACCGCAAAGTGAAACAGAACAAGGTCATGACCAAGAAGCTAAGCAATCAAAATCCAAGGAACCAGTCGTCTTCGTCATCCCGTGCTTCGGCAGACCCTCGGAGCTGGTCGGGCCACGACAGAAAGTCTGCTAATCCGCCATGGCTGCCGCAGCAAGACAACGACAATGATAATTCTTCTGCCGTGAGTCCAGCCGCTGCGAATTACTGGCGTAAAGCGTCGGCACTTTCCCCGAACCACGCGGGCGATGGGGCAGGGGGTGCTTTGTCTGGATTGGACGTGGACGATTTGTTGAGTATGGGGGAGGAAGACGACCACAGTTTGCTCGGTGGAGCACAGACAGCAATGTCCGCCTCCCAACCGCCAGGGAACTGGGAATCTGCGTCGACCTCCACCATCTACAGCTATGACCAAGACAGAGACGACGACACGTCCGCGCCGACGGTCAAGGGTTACGCTCGAGTGCGCTCTAACGATGATTTTGGCGAAGACGACGAGGATAACGCTGATGAAAGGTGACTGGGACTTATTTGGCCAGCGTCTGTTTCACCTGCTCTCACCTCTTCTTTTCTAACCTGGGGACGTGTGGTTTGCTGTAACAACTTATATGAGGCTTATTTTATTGAGTTATCAAAAAGGATTTTTTTCTGTAGTCAGTTTTGTTCTGCTCCTTTTTATCCCTTTTTGTTTCGTTGAGGCATCGTGGTCACCATTGGGCATGTGGTGTGGTTGCCATGGGTTGGGCCAAAGCAAGCTTCTACTGTTGGCATATACTGGGTCTGCCCGAAATCATTTTTTTCCAACACCAACTTGCCCTTTCAATATTTTCGTTCCTACCCCTGCTCTGTTTATGAATACTGTAAGAATTTTGTGTAGAAAACTCTTGTCAGTACAAAGTAAAGGATTGTTCAAGTGTCAAGCAAGTCCAACGGCCGAATTGTTTTTACACAATATTGTCGAAATAAACTCTGTACGGGTAGCTGTCTGGGACTGCTGCTGCTCTAACAATCATGTGCACATGCACTTAAAAGTTAGAAGAGTGTGAGTTGAAACTAACAATGACAAACTTTCACATTTCTGAGCCATTCCTCTGTTTTCATTATTCCTTGCCTAATGAGTTAAACATATGAAGTTCGTCGGTTTATTTCCAAACATTACTTCCCTCCCAATGCAGTATTTTTGTTTCATTCATATATCCCTGATGGAGTGGATTTCTTATCATTTCATTTTGTTGTCCTTTGTTCTTTAGTTTTTCTAATCTTATTCAATAAAGGTGGACATTTTGTACCCAATAATAAGTGATTGTGCATAGATCTAAGTGTTCTTCTTTTAACTCATAGCTTGCCAATCAATAAAATGTTTTTCTTTTTCATTCATTGTAAAAGTGTGAAATTGTATATATATCCATTATGAACTTCATGTGTTTCAAGTTTTATGTAGCCTACTGTATTTCTTTTTTTTATGTGAATCTTCAAAATAACACATTTCTGTTGTAACACATGATCTGTTGTTAGTACTAATACTTTCAAAAATGTGTGCTGCCTAGTAGTTAGTAGTAGTGCGTATAGTGACTGAGAGCAACTCTCTTTCAACATGATTTATTTATTACTACTGGAGTCAAAAAGTACTGGCAAGTTTGTGACAAAATTGCATTTATTTTGTTTTTACTTTTGTTTTCTGTTGCTGCTCACATTTTTTCCTTCTCTCTCTCTTCTCTTTTCTCTCTCTCTTCTCTGTGAATCTCCTTCTTTGTTTTCTGTTGCTGCTCACATTTTTCCCTTCTCTCTCTCTTCTCTGTCAATCTCCTGCTTTGTTTTCTGTAGCTGCTCACATTTTTTCCTTCTCTCTCTCTTCTGTCAATCTCCTTCATTGTTTTCTGTTGCTGCTCACATTTTTCCCTTCTCTCTCTCTTCTCTGTCAATCTCCTTCGTTCATGTCTTTAAAAGAAAAAAAAATCTTTCACTCTGGCTTCTGATCTCTGCAATGTTTCTCATATCCATCTTTCCTTTTGCCTGTCATTCCTTGGAATTTCCTTTTCCTCAAGTGAATTTTGTTGCTAAGATGTTTTTCATGTCCAGTTTTCATATAAAGTGAGTTTTTAAAGATGAATTGCGTCTCACATTTATTTCATGGGAGTATATCTTTAAACGTTAATGGACTACTTTGGGTCAGTTTGAATTTGAAACGAATCAAATCCCATGAAAGAATTTGGGAGGGGGGGGGATTTTATTCCAAAGTAGCTGTGTTAGTGTTAGGGTTGCAGAGAAAACACAACTCTTAAATTCTGCAGTGTGTGTGCTGTTCGGGTTCTGGTGCACGGTGCGAAATGATTCACTAGTTAGACACTTGCTCTGTGTGCTTGAGGTGGACTGTTGTGTCACTAGTCATGGTACCTGGTATAGTATTCTGTTACATCATTATCGAAGCCTGAGCTTGAACTTGAAGATTTCTTTTCTTTTTTTATTTTCACTGCACTGCACTGCACGGTTGCTTTTGTGTAACAGAGGACACAATGCCGATCTATAAATAACTGCATTGAGTCATAATGTATTTGTACATCTTTTTATTTTTAGAATTTATGATGGATGGGTGAATTTGTTGAGAGATGTTGCACCCTATTCTGTCCTTTGAATTCTTTTTTTTCTCTAGCATATTTGCATGTGTGCAGCTCTTTCAGATGCTAAAAGTACGATATAATGATAATATGATCTTTTTTTCTTTAGTGACTTTAGTATACATAATTCCATTCTATGGTTTCTGTGAGCACTGTCATCTGGTGTAAATAGTGAAGCTCATTCCTTTCGTCACTACAGTACATGTTTTGGACGTTTATGTGGAAATTATGACAGTACAACATATACTTTTAAAACGTGTCTGTATAATATAGTGTAAAGCGCATAGAGCCTGCTGTTGAGCGGGGATATGTGCTATATAAATGCTATTTATTATTATTACATGGTCTTCCTTTCTATTAATGTGGTCAGTTTTATCTTTTCTATTCTCAAAATATTGATTTGGGCTGGAGCACTATGTGTTTTGGGGGATTGTTTTTGGTTTTTAAAAAATTTCAAGTGGCAACTTTAGCACTCTTTATCTGATCTATCTCTGTATTTTCCTGGCTTTGACAAATCTGTTATTGAATTTTTTTCCTCTTTCTTGTTCAGTTTCTCTTTAGGGTTTCTTTCTTTCTCCAGCCAGAATACATTCCATGTAACCAGAATACATTCCATGTAACCAGAATACATTCCATGTAACCAGAATACATTCCATGTAACCAGAATACATTCCATGTAACCAGTGGGTTTACATTGTTGTTCTTTTAAATATCTGTCCCCGTGTTTTATGCACCCCGCATAATTTAGCGAAATTTGATAATTCTTTGCATAATTTCTGATTATTTTCCTTTATCATTCTTTGTTAAAATTAACAGAATCGCATAATTTCATATTTTTGGGCTCAATTTGCGTAATTTCAGAATTATTTTTGCGTAAAACCGTGGGGACAAAAATATGCAGGACAGTTTTTTTAATAGAGTGAAGTGGATTGATAGAAAAAAGAAATAAGCACTTTTGTTTGTTTTACACAATGATATACAAAATGTAGAGAATTTGGCTATTTTTTGTTATAGAGATAGACTATCGTCATAATTATGACAAATGAGGTGGAAGCCATTCTGGACACTGGTGAAT